GTGTGTGTGTGTGTGTGTGTGTGTGTGTGTGTGTGCTAGGCTGATAAATTTCCTGAAGGAGTTTAATTCCTTTAAGCTGTGGCCTTATATTTAATTAGCAGAAATATATAATGCACAATTGGCAGACTAGAATGGACAGAAGCTGGTGGAATACAAAATAAATATTTAAAACAAACAAAAAGCAAAAGGCAGCCTTCCCTCCCAATCTAATCAGGGCGCTGTGGCTTCCCAGCCTCCACTGGTGATAGCGGAGAGGCCACGAAGCTGGCTGTTCACACACCCTCTACACCATCACTACCTCTCCCCTCCCCCAGCGTCCTCCTCAATGCACTCCTGGTCTCTAGTCCTCACCCATATATGCCTCTTGCGCTGGCCTCTAGTGCCCCCCGAAACAGCAGCAGAAGCGAGCTTTTTATTTTATTTTCCCCAGCACCATTGCGTGTCCTCCATGCTATGGGCAACAAGTGTGATGAAGGCCACCGTGCAACCTGCCTGCGGGCTACTCTCCAGGGCTGACCCTCCTCTCTAGAAACTGTCTTAAGATGCGCCAAACCCACACCCGAGGGAGGCAAACGCAAAAACCCCAGGCACCAGCGGAAGAGCAGAAGACACCGCCAAGAGAGGATCCGGGCTGGGGTTGGGTAGCCAAGCCCGGATCACATCCAACCCACGGAATGGAAAGGAAAATGAGCCATGGGACCTGCGCCGCCCTCCCCAGAGAGCGCGCGGCCGGGGTGGGTGCCCGGGGGTCTCACCTCCTGCGGTATAGCCGGGTCTCTCCCGCGAGGCGCTGGCAAGCATGAGGCATGCAGCATTCAAAATGTTTTTTTTTTTTTTAACACAGACTTGATGCTTTTATTTTTTTTCTTTTCTTTCTTTCTCTCTCTTTTTTTCTTTTCTTTCTTTCTTTCTTTTTCTTTCTTTCTTTCTTTTTTTTTTTTTTTTTACCAACACGCCATTGTACTCACTCCTTATTCCAAGATGGGCTGCGCACTCCGAGCTGCACGGGCAGGCATTTTCCCCGGCTTTGTTTTACAAGGTGGGGAGAGCGGTGCTGGAGGCGGGAGGGGTGTAGGGGGAGCGTGAGAAGAAACGAAATCGCGGGAAGGAGGGGACACCAGCGGCGGCAGGCTGGGCAGAGGGCGAGGCCGAGGCCAAGTTGGGCTCGAAGGCGGCTGCCCCCGCGCGCGTTGGGTCACCCCGACTGCGCTGCCGCCTGGGGTCCCGCGCGGGCCCTGAGTGCGCTCGGCCCGTGGCTCCG